GTTTTCTTGGCAAAGATACTGGAGTAGCTTGCCAATTCCTGCTCCAGGTGGATAGTGTTTAGTCAGAACTCTCCACTATGACCTGTCCATCTTGGGTGTCCCTGTACGGCATAGCCCATAGCTTCTCTGAATTACTCAAGCCCCTTCGCCACAACAAGGCAGCAATCCACGAAGGGGCAGTAGAAAGAATAAAAATAATTTCTTTACTTATAGATCAACAGATAAAATAGCAAACTGACAAACATGACTGCTTTCAACAACAGACTCAAGAGAGAGAAAGACCATTGAGCAGAGAGGTGGAGCTTTCTTTGGATTCAGATGTAGGAGAGAATAATTGGTTAGTGCTGGATAGATTGACAGTCATGCTAGCCCAGAAATGTCCCTGCCAGTAACACCTTCTCCAGACAGCATGTGAGGCTGTAAAAACTTCAACAGTAATGGAACTACACTATATGAAAGTGGCTCCTGAAAGTAGCTTCATACTATATCTGTGCAAAGAATGCTTGAGGTTGCCATTCCACTTTTGCACAGCATTGCTACCTCAGTAGTTTCTTGGAATTACTAATTAATTTCTCCATTAGTTTTGTTTGTTTGTTTGTTCCTTGTAAGGTAAAGGTTCCCCTTGAAATTCAGACTAGTCGTGTCCGACTCTAGGGCATGGTGCTCATCCTCGTTTCCAAGCTATAGAGACAGCGTATTGTCCATAGACAGTTTCCGTGGTCACATGGCCATGTGACTAGATCTGGAACACCGTTACCTTCCCACCGAGGTGGTACCTATTTATCTACTCACATTTTTACATGCTTTTGAACTGCTAGATTGGCAGGAGCTGGGACAAGCGATGGGAGCTCACTCCGTCGCGTGGATTCGATTTTACGACTGCTAGTCTTCTGATCTTGCTGCACAGAGGCTTCTGTGGTTTAACCCGCAGCGCCACTACGTCCCTCTTGTTCCCTGTAGGTGGTGATTTATCGCTTAATAATTTCTAGTTTCCTTTGTTTCCCCATTTCATAAAAAACACTAAAACTTCACACTATTTCAGAAAATATTAGCTTGATCTAGTAATTACCTTTCTCTCCAACACACACACACACATGCCACATGCACATACATGTACATGGCAGAAACCAAAGGACTCCAAGGTGGTCCATCAGTAATTCTGAACTATGCTAAAGTGGAGCAGTTCAAAGAGTCCAAAAGGTGGAACATACCACTTATGTGGAATAGCCGCCTAGAGTGGTCGGAACGACCAGATAGGCGGGATACAAATAGAATAAAAAAATAAATTATGAGAAACATTTGTTGAACAAGACTGTCTTGCATAATATTAATGCTGAAATTGACTGATCATGGGAATGGGGGCACTAATAGATAAAAGAGCATGCAGCCACTGTTTTAATTTCACTTCTTTCTGATTGCTTAAAAGTAAGCAACACTGGAAGCAGCTGGTTTGTTTTCACAGCATCCTAACTTGTTGGTACAGGAATGTGGTTCTAAAACAATCTGCACAAATGCCATCTTGAGGCTAGAAAGATAAACTAATTAGGAGACTATGAAAAGGCTGGTAGTACAATTAACAATGATTCCCATGTTATTTGAAATACAAGTTTAACATGATTATAATACAGGGAATGAGTGAAAGGAGAGACTTTCTCACAAACTGAACACAGGCAAGGACAGTTTGAAATGTTGATAGAAAAAGAGAGTAAATAGCATTGCTGAAACAGGTTTCAAATGGGTGGATCTTATCACTCAGTTAAAAGATCCAAGCTCTTTATAATTCCAGATTCAAGTTCTGTATAGAGCTAATTAGAGAAGAATTATCTAGAAGTACATAACAAAGAGCCTGCACACAATAACTCACCTGATGGAAAGAAGAAATGCAATGAAAAATGTCAGGCTGTACCAGGAGCTGTGCAACAGTTGAATTGGTTGGTATGCATCTTCTAAAGCACAGATTGGGCAACTTTGGTGGGCCCAGGGCCAGCATTCTGCCCCAGGAAACTCTGGGAGTTGCAGGGAGTGCGAGACGTATGAAAAAGGCATATATAATTGAACGTGACTAGGTTTCAATTTCCAGTTTTGAAAAATTAGTTTTTTGGAGACTTAAACGTTGGGAAGGAGACAGCTGTGAAATGCTGCTGCCGGAGGCTTCCAAGAAATGGCAACACGTATTTTGTTTCTGCCCATTTGGGAAGACAGGGAAGTCTGCTGAGTTCAGGATATTTAAAAACAGCTGGGGTGGGAGGGCAAGTGGCCCAAGGGCAGGACTTTTGCCCACACGTATTCTAAAGATAAAGCCTCTGAGCACTAGTAGAATTTACCTACACATCTACAAGTTCTGAAAATGCCCCATCCTTTTCATAGGAAAGAAAGGGCACTGCAAAACAGAATATTCAGTATATCGTTTGTCTTTTCTTCCTGGTCCTGGCTTAGTTTGTGGTCTTTACTTCTAATGGCTGCAACCTCCATTCTGCCTCAATTCCGGTTACCGCTTGTTCTTCCATTTCTGTTCCAGATGTCGTATGACTGGGATATAACGTGTGTTTGAGAAATCTTTTCAAAATATTTGTTTCAGGACTCTCCTTCTTGTAGAAATGATGCTAAGAGATCTTAATAGTAACCATGATGGAGAACCAGTGTGTAGTGCCTAAGCAATAATTTTATTAAAACGTGGTTGCTTGATGTGTTTCTGACCTATTGTGATGCTAACTGCATTTTGAAGGTACCGGTATATCAGATGTTAACAGAATGGTCCTATACAATATATAGACCAACATCCAGAATACAAAGTTTCTTATTAAATACTAGCATTGTGTGAAGCCCATTTATGAAAGACTTCATCACAATGTGGTGAGCCTCACCTGCCAGGGTTCTAGCCTTTCAGACATTGCCCAAATTATTGATCAAATGGCATTCTCTGTCAGGACTTCAGAGTCTATCTTAACTGCTGTTGGTGTGCTAGGCACTGAAGACTGAAGAGTATCTGATTGTTTCCCATCCCGGTACAACTGGCAGGAACACTTCTAGAGCCACGAAAGTTACTCAGGTCAGCCATCCATGACATTTCAACTCATCCTGTCGGTCTGCTGTGTTGGCAGTTTGGAACTTCATATCTGAACATCTGTCCCAGCTATTTGAACATGAGGCCTGACATCTCTCTTTGGCAGTGGTTCCCAACCTTGGGTAACCCAGGCGTTAGTGGACTGCAGCTCCCAGAAAGCCCAGGTAGCACATCTGGTGGTAATGGCTTCTGGGAGTTGCAGTCCAATAACACCTGGTTTACCCAAGGTTCAGAACCACCGCTCTATGGTGTATACTTAAGTGGTAGTGTAGATTAGAAGTTAGACAGTTGAGGCTTTTTAAAAAAACTTTTTATTATGTCTTTTCCTCTTCCTGCTTTTCATCTATATAATTTTAATAAATCTTTATTCTTCATTTGTCCTAGAGGTTTTTAACTCATAGTTTTTTTTATGGAGAAGCTTTATTTTCTACACTTACCTTTAACCCCAAAATCCACACTGCTTAGGAAATGTGTCTTCTTGGCATAAGAGTATTTATTCTAGCACTGGGTTGAGCTACCGATTAATGAAAAAGAAACTTGCAGTTAGGCATATTTTTTTGAAAAACACAGTTTATTACTTTAGGAAATGCATTCAGGAACAGTGCTGGAGAAAGAGCCCTAAATTAAGTTAAAGAAGCTTCTAAAGCTGACTTCTATGTGTGTAGGGCTGCTCGGCCATGGAAGACTAGCTATGTGAGCTTGCTTCTCTCTAAGAGGATGAATGAGCCTGAAGTGATCTCAGAGCAAGAAGGAGAAGGAACTGGGTGCAAGAGTAGCAGTCTCAACATAGATCTAGAAAAGACAAAAGAGGGAGCGACTACTTGTTGACCACCACTACAGGTTTAAATCATTTACCACATGCATAAGTGCTCTATTTCTACAACTGTGGAATAGGCCAAGAAAAGCTTACAGTGACAGAAACTAGCTGGGAACAGTCTTCCCAAATAACTATCTCATGTTCTGTTTACATAGTTTGTGCCGGACATTAAAAGACATGAAAACAAGTATTTCACTACCATCACATTTTGGGGTTATTGTTCCCCCCCAGGCCTCAGGTTGTTAGGGACTGTTCACTGCAGACCCTACTGTCCCACTGAATGCCCAGCAGCTCACAGCTTATCTGCCAAAGCTTCTTTGCACTGTTCTCATCACGACCCTGAGGAGCCACCCATGCTGGTTTACAGTCACTAGAGAAGAAGAAGAAAAGAAACATCCATTAGGTTCTCATCTCATCTCATCGGAGTCTGGATTATTTGAATAGAATGTTAAGAAAGCCATATTAAAAGCAATACGAGAATGATAGCTTAAAACAGAAATGGGCATATTTCCAAGTCCATATCATAGGATAAAGTAGGTTTGTCAATTGTGGAATGGACCCCAACCCTATGAATGTTTACTCAGAAGGACGTTGCACTGTATTGAATGGAATTGACTCTCAAGTAAGTGTGTATAGTGAGAATGGGACAAGCATTTTCCAACCTTTTTTTTTTTAAGTGATTCTAATGTGGAGGAAGCGGAATTGATGCCAACAAACATACAGATGTATTAAACGTTTTCGATGGGCTGAACTCTGGGAGTGGGGCTAAGGTATGGAGAGGTGGCAAATGACTATTGGAAAATCACCTGCAAAGAAACATAATCTAATAACATCCACCCACAAAGTGGATCAGCACAGAACAGTGTGGTACTAGAGGCCACATGAGCAGACCATGCAACGGAGTACATCAGAGTAAAGCAGACTCTACACCAGTGGTGATATGCCCCCCCCGCCCCTGAAAGTCTGGGTCTTCTGTCTTGTCTCTGTATGCAGACTCTTGACAATACAACCTGCACATTATGCCTGGGAGTGAGAAGGAACGTAGCTTTCAGAATGGCTGCATAATTATTTTGCTCTGCTACCAACTTGTCAAGAAGCTCACTAAAAGTTGGTTATAAATGCAAAATCTCAGTCATGCAAGACAAATCTAAGGAACAAATTGAGCAACACTGGGGGGGAGGCTGGGAAAAAAATGTCTAGTACTCTATTTTATTCCAAAAGAAATAAAATAGAAAGCTCAGGTTAGCAGAACAATGAAGACTCTTCTTCCAATTCAAATATGGTGGCTGGATTTAATAAAGGCATGAAAGGAAGGAAACGTAAGAGCAATATACAGGCAGAGAACCTATCCACAGTCTCTTCCAACAACTGTAGACAGAATTATAAAGTGATTGGCAACAAGCCTTAAATCTCATCGACAACAAACTTACTAATTCATCAGTGAAACTGACAAGACTGAAACTAGAGAAGGCATTAGATCCAAGCCTTATAGAAGACTGCAAGAGTAACAGTGCTCAAGCATGCAGTTAAACATATGTAAGAAACAGACAAACTAGAGAGAGAATCATAAACCTGCACCCTATGCCCATGTTGATATTTCAAGTTGGAATTAAAGCCATCATAGATGAGCACTTTCTTGTAGTACACAATGGCTAAAACTATGTAGCTTAGTAAAGCACAATGGAGTGGGCCCATTGTATCAGTTAGGATTTGGTGTGTCAACCCCTCTGTACATTCCATTGATTCCAACAGTCCTGTTCTAATGCATCTTGCTTTAGCATAGTAGGTTGCAGTTAGAAGTAGGTTGCAGTTAGAGTAGGCCCATTTGAATCAATCAAATCAAATCAATGCTTGATACACCAAATTCTAACTGATACAATGGGTCCACTCTATCGCAATTTACTACAGTAAGCAATAGGATTTTGGCCAATGTCCAGAATCTTCTTAGTGTTCAGGTAAAGCTGATGTAACTTTCCATATTTAATTGCAGCTAACTAGTGACAAGATGCCAGGGCATGTGCCTGGCCACACACTCGATTGCACAACCAAGATATGTCTCAGCAATTAGACACTGCAGGTTTTGCTGACTACATTAGGATACCTATAGGATTCTGGCCATTTTGTCATCTGAATGTTGCCCTCAGTGTCTCTAGTAAGAATTAATAAAACACACCATCATGCAGATGTGCAAAACATATTTCAGTTCTTATCTGCATTCTGGTTACAGTCCCCAAACTGAGATTTACCTGAAATACTCCCCGCTCACAGATGTCAGCTCCTCTGCTACGGCACAATAAACAGTAGTCTGGGCTCCTTCTTTTGAAGTCTTAAACACAAAAGGAATTGCTGCTTGCAGAATACTGACTAGATAAGATTGGCGCCCTAATTCGCTAAGAACTGCACCAGGATGTAAGGCATTTGCAGTGACTCCAGTGCCTAGAAAAAGAAGAAGGAAATTGCAGCAAACAGTCTCTTACAGTTATGGACTAAAGAATATTCAAAATGAAAATAGTAGTTAATATCATGCTAGTACTGTGAATGTGGCCATCTTTATTACTTTGCACTAGGCAAAATCACTGAGATGGACTCCACCACCACCCTGGAACTGAAAGGGTCTTGCTTAATAGGTTACAACTTGAGTAGCCGCCTAGAGTCGTCTTAATAGGCCAGATGGGCGGGGTAGAAATCAAATCAAATCAAATCAATCAATCAATCAATCAATCAATCTGAACTTACGGGGATTTGGTGCATCACCTCCCCTGTAAGCTCAATGGGCCTACTCTAGTTGCAACTTACTACACTAAGCAGGAGGATTTCAGCCAGTGAGACTCAAGGTTTTAACGAAACATGTTTTAATTTCAAGTTTGTTTTTACAACAAAATACAAAAGATTAAAAAAAGATAAAAATGCAGCTGAACTTTAACATGGATTTATTCAAATAAACAGGCTGCTAATATGCCTGAAGCTGGCTGGCTAGCTCAGTGGTTTAGGTTTCCGAATATGGAGCCATTGGTTGGCCGTTCAATTCCTCAGTATGCCTCCTATGAATACAGCCAGCCTGTGTAGCCTTGGGCAAGCTGTACATAACCCTTCACTCTTTTGTCCCTTGCTTCTATCTTTCGCTTTTCAGTCCATTACATGACCCATCTTCTAAATTCCAAGAGATGCTTGTATTTGGCTCCTGTGTTGTCCTGCCCATTGTGCTGTTCTCTCTCTGCCTCTGCTTCCACTCCCTTTGTCACTCACTTCTTTTATCACACAATCTCTAACAGTCCTCTTAGCACACATAGCTAGCTAATACTGCATCTGAGCTTTTGGAAGTCTATTAGACAACTGCTATTCAAAATTTTAAAAGATTACCAAAAGGATACCACTGATGTCCTGCTAATGTGTACAACAAATGCCTGTTTTTCCTTTTATCCACCATTGGCATCCAGAGTGATTACCCTTAGTTAACATAATTGCCACAGACTCTTAACACCCTGAATGATTCTTTCAGGATCCTTTCCATGAAATATGCCATAATGCTTGACTTCATTACAGCAACACAGACAGAGTCCCACATACACAGCACAACATTAAGCTGGACAAGCACTTGATCTTGTCTGTGTTGTCTATGCTTTTAATTCTGTGCCTCAGCAATGCTGGAATGTTTTGATGGGTTTCACCCATGCAACCTTTGGGTTAATTCTTTCCCCCCCACATCCATGCTTTGGCTGGGCACAGGCAAGTATATTCAGAAGGATCCCCATATCTGCTGTTTCACTAAGTCATGATCTAAAAATATTAAAAATATTAAATGAAATCCCCCCCAGAAATATGTATTTCCACAATGTATTTACCAGAACTGGCCACTAGAGGGCACCAGAGACCATGCTATGTATCCTTGTTGAAGTATACATAGCATGGTCTCTGGTTCCTCCTATTGGTCCCCTACTGGCCAGTTCTGGCAATACACAGTGAAAATACTTCTTTCTGCTTTTCTTTTTTCTTTTACCATGATATGTATAGTGCTCGCTGTTATCTGCAGTTTTCAACATCTGCGCAGGTTGTTTGTAGAACCAATCCCCAATGGATATGTAGGTCCTACTGTAGCACTTAAGAATCACTCTGTCTTTTGATCTCACCTTGCAAATGGCGGGCCAGTTCCCTGGTAAATAATATATTAGCCAGTTTGCTTTGAAAATATGCCAGGAGGGGATTGTACCACCTTTCTCCCTGCAGGTTCTGGAAGTTAATCTTCCAGAAAGCATGGGTCATTGAAGACACATTTATTATCCGAGCTGGAGCTGACTGTTTCAAACGGTCTAACAGCAGGAATGTTAACAGAAAATGACCTAGAAATAGAAAACACTAATTATTCCATGCTTGTGCCTTCTTGTGAGTCAGTATGTTAATTTTACCAACCAACTTTACCAATGAGCTAAAACAGTGCTCAAGATGACCTAAAATATGTTACAATATTTAAAAATTAAATAAAAACTTCAAAATTATAAGAGATTAAATTTTACTTTAACTCAATTTTGAAATCCATCTCCAAATATTAGCTGATTCACTGTACTCAATATGCCAAGTTCTGCCTATAGACCTCTGACTTATTGTGACTTGGTCCTTTGACCATGAGGGTGTGGAAGTGACAACAGAAGTCACTACATAAATTCTTCCTTCTATATTGTCCAAGGTGCAGCCACAATGTCATGATCTAGTATTCTGGACTATAGTTTCATATATATATATATGTCATATATATGTCATATATATATATATGTCATATATATATATATGTCACCAGATAACCACTATATATATATATATGAAACTAGTTGAGATAACAGTGGTTACCTGGTGACAATAGGACTGGGTCAGATCTTCATATAGTCCTTCATATAGTCCTATTGTCACCAGGTAACCACTGTTATCTCAACTCCATTGTGGACACTTGCTCTAAAGGCCATAATGGACCTCAACCATTTTTGTACCCCCACATTCCTCACTACTCTTCCAAATGCTGTGAAAAGGCAGAGAGGGAGGAAAAAAACTGGAAACTTCCAGGAAGTGTGATTCTCTTTTAAAACAAGATGTGAAAGGAGGTCCCTGGCTCTCCATTCTCTGTTTTGTTTAAAACAAACGAACAAACCCCAGAAAACAGAAGTTGACTTCCAGTTCAATTTCAGTGGTGAACAACATGTCTGGGGCACACAGAATATACCCATCCTTGCTGCACACCTTCTCCTTCTTAATATGAAGCATGTCTGGACTTTAGATTGAGGATAAAATATTTTATTCAGTCTCAAGTGTGATGTCAGTTTGGGAGTTGGGAAGCAGCTGTAAGTGGAGGAAACGGAGTTGGCAAGGAAAGGGGCCAAAGAGGTACCCAGTTTAGACAACATTGCATGAAAGAGGGCAGTTGTATGGGGCAGAACTGTCATAAAAACCTGTTTATTAGACCTCTGTCTCATAATCTTACCAAGATGATTGACTCCTATATGCATCTCAAAACCATCAGCAGTCTTGGTATAATGGCCCATCATCGCACCTGCATTGTTTATAAGAATGTGGAGCTTCTTCTCTTCTGCAGGGACATATCAGATGAGGTATTAAACGGAAAATCCCAAGGGGCAGGGAGGAGAAGGAGAGATGACATAGTTATTTTCAGGTACTGTCTGTAAATCTCACTACAAAACTTTCTGAGGGGAGGGAAAGTCATGTTAGTTGCATTCACAACAACAAAGAGTTGTGAGCCAATGTAAAGACTTAACAGTCAAAATCTTTTTGAGTAGTTACACCAGTGTACTTCAAACTGTATAACATATGGAAGTGAATTGCCTCACTGATAGATAGATATAATTACAACTCAATGTTAAAAAAATATAAAAACTTTCTTAATTGGAGGCAATTTGTTCCTGGAAGTTCCACTGTTTAAATTCCATTGGTGTAGCTATCAAGGGGGACTTTGGCCAATGAGTCGTATTATATCAGAATCCACAAAATCTTATGAGCATGATTTATTGTGAATCATTTTGCAATGTGTGAACAGTTGTGTCAGAGTAAATTGTGTTTGTGAGGTTCGTTGAGCAGCAGATGTGAGGATCATGGGTTTTGGACTGCATGGTATCTGCATACTAATGTTTATCAACCATACCTTTGAGGAAATTTTCAGCAAATTTCCGTATAGATTTGCTATTACTCAGGTCCATTTCTTTCACAATAACTTCCTGATTCCCTGTTTCTGTTCGGATTTCACAGGCAGCTGCTTCCCCTTTAGCTGTATCTCTGCAGGCCATGATAACACGAGCACCTTCGGGAAGAAATGAAAGGTTACAAACTTATTTATGTCCCATTCCTGTAAGATCCATTTTTATTAATAGAATGATATACAGTACTCCACAATTCGAATGAACATATGTAAACCAATTTGTCAACAGACATTATAGGCAGCAATAGAAGGTGGCTGGATGGCTTTACTTGCTTTGATTTGATTCAGTTCAAGCACTGATAGTGATTATCTGGGCTGAATCATCTCTTTCCACAACTTTAAATAGAATATTACTAAACGGAACATTTTAATTAAGTAATACATTAATATAATTGTAATTATTTCCAGGGGAGAAGAATAAAATATTCCTAACAGCAATAAATATTAATAACTTGTTTATTATACCAGTCTCAAAGGAACCAATCAGCCATAGGCTTGAATCCAATTGTTGTTGTTGCTGCTGCTGCTGCTGTTCCATGTCATTCTTTCATCTCCAACTTATGGCAACCATATGAATGAGAGATCTCCAGAATGTCCAGTTCTCAACAGCCCTTCTCAGCATTTGTAAACTCAAGTCTGTGGTTTCTTTAGAAAGTCAATCCATCTTGTATTTGGTCTTCCTCTTTTCCTGCTGCCCTCAACTTTTCCCAGCATTATTTTTTCCCCCAGTGCATCTTGCCTTCTCATGATGTGCCCCAAGATTGATAGCATCAATTTCATCATTTTTTTACTCCAGAGAAAGTGCAGGCTTGAATTTGACATTTGTTCCAACTAAAGTAAATTCACTGTGTCTATGGAATCTGCATAATTGTTACGGCAGTTTGCAAAGTTCTAATTGTAGAGCTAGCAAATCTTCCCTACCTGGAACAAATTGTTGGATTTAGACCCTAGCGCTAGATTAAGAGTCAGGAAACCTGTTGCCATCCAGTTGTTGATGAACTGCTGCTCCCATCATCCCTTACCAGCAGTCACTTAAGTACAACAGAATCCAGAAGGCCACAAGTTCCTCACTCCTCTCTTCAACTATACTTTAGGGCCATACTCATTTAACCAGAGTAAGCTTCACTGCATTCATTAAACCTTATCTCTGAGTAGACATGTCTGCGATTGTGTTGTTGATATCGCGAGAATACATTGGAACTAGAATGCCAGACTAAGATCTGACTCATGGTTTGCCATTACATCTCAGTGCAGGTAATGAGTGTTGGGGGTGGCGGGGGCAGGAGGGTATATGCAGATTGTTTTGATAATTCTTTGTTTGAAAAGCTGAGTGGAAAATTCCAGCCCAATGTCACCAGGGACAAAGTGCGAACTCCGTCCCTGCAAAGGCAGTTCACAGCCAGGGCTTGAACTCATCTTAGGCAGACTTCTGCCATAAATTTATGGGACTTTCATTTATAATTTTCTTGCAATATTAGTGCATGGCCTGTAGAAGTGATCTTGAGCCACAAAAAAAGCTGATTGTTTGATATATATTTTTGTGGTTTCATGAAAGTGTCACTTCTCCTGCATCTAAGTGTTACAGAGTGACATGCACATCCATCAGTGTGTCCATGACGTTTGCTGGATTTCCTTAAAAACAAATAAACCACAGAATCAAGAAACCATTGGTACACAGACACTCACACACCGCATTAAGGTACTTATGAATTTTAAAAATGTACCCCCAAAAAAGCACAGAAATAATTGAAGCACCCTATCTTCATTTTCATGACTAATCATAAATGGATAGTTAGGATTGTGAGCAACTTGCCTCTTCGTGCAAGTTCCCTGGCCGTCTCCTTCCCTATGCCGGTGTTGGCTCCGGTGATTACGACCACTTTTCCATGCAACATTGCTGTGGATGTGCACACTCCCCCTGCAAACCATTTCCTGAAACAAAAGGCAACAGCACTAGATTACTTATTACTTATATATAGATTTCTTGCTGTCTAAGAGGCATTGGCCTGTAGGGTTGTACGTTTGACTTTTCCTTGAAACAAGTTTTTAATCTGCATTGTTTCTATTTGACTCAGGGGTGGGAAGCTTCTGACTTTCCAAATATCGTGGGCTGCAACTCTCGCTCTGGTTACCGTAAACAATGCTGAGAAAGTCTAAGAAATGCAGTTCCTCAGCATCACTTGCCCACTTGTAGTTAAGGTATTCTTCAAGTAATAGTGAAGGGGGTCCCTCTCTAGCCACACTACACTGTTTGTCCCAGGGTGGGTGAATCTAGAAGAATCGGTTGTGGAGAGGACCGTGGAATCAACCTGGCACTGGTGCCTCTCAACATCCCATCTTCTCAGACTTGGCAGCACTCCCAGAGAGTCTAAAAATCCACAGGACTAGGCAATTAGGATCAATACACTCACCTTAGAAGGTAGACTGTCACCACATCCATAAATATAATAAACGTCTCGGGAGCTGGTCAAGGCAAACTCTCTGAGTCTAAAAGCCCAGACAGTTGGTTGGAGATTTTTTAAATTTTATTATAGTAAAAAGACAAGTTTCATGAAGTTTCAAAAATCATTTGAAGCAAAAATACAGTTGAGACAAAGCCAAGACAATCAAGGGAACATACTAGAAAAGCCCAAAGCTAAACTGATCTACGTAATATATATTAGCATACAGTCAGCATAGTTCTGAAGCATACACAGAATGCATCCTTTCAGGCACAACATAACAGGATAGCAATTGACCATGGCCATTCCTGAGAGAGAAGCTAAGCCAGCTCAAGAAACCTCTGAACCCCTTTTTATACATTAAACATTCCATTCTCATCAAGTCTTTCCCAGGTGCTCAGAGAAGTCGGATTTTTCAAGATGGAGTCCATGTTCCCCCAATTTCTCACTTTCTTCACAATCTCTTCAAACATTTTAAAAAATACAATTCAAAAGATAAAAACACAACTCTTCCACTAAAATCCCCTTCATAGTAGCAACATAAGTATTAAAAACTTGCATAAAAAGACAGGTGTTTGCCTGCTAGCAGAAGCAGGACAGTAAGGCCAAGAAAAAGGCTTCCTCCAAAGATCTTACAACCCAGAGAGGCTCACCTGGGAGATATAGGCCCTTAGACATATTTACTTTGGAGTAAGCATTTTGCTATTAAAGGCAGATGTATTTCAAAAGTAATAATATTAAAACTGGCATTTGTAACAATATGCATGCATGGCTAGCCATCCTTTGACTACAAAATTTTCTGAAAGAAGACAGAAAGGACAATGTAAACTTTCTCAGGCTCTGTATACCCTTGTAAGCCCAAGGTTCGATGCCAGGTCTGGCTGACTTTGAATCTATCTCTAGAAGGCGATATCCTTTTTTTAAACTGTGATTTGGAGACTTGTCTGAATTTTGACCCAAACAGCACCACTATTTCCTTTCCACTAACACAAGTAAAAGCATTTTGCTAATTCAAGCAAATTATTGCATTGAGAACTCATTTGCTGCCATGGGAATAGTCGTACAATTAAAAATAGAATCGTAGATTAATTGAGTTGGAAAAGACTTGTAAGACTATCGAGTCCAGCCCCCTGCTGGATGCAGGAATCCAAGTCAAAGCAGATCTGACAGAGGATTGTCCAATTTTCTCTTGAGTGCCTCCAGCATTGAAGCGCTCATCACCTCCTGACATAATTGGTTCCATTGTCATAGTGTTCATACTGCTTAAATTTGGCTTCCTGTAGTTCCACATTTATGTTGCCTTGGCTTACCAGAATGATTACAGGGTTGCAACCTGTATGTGGGGGCCTAGATCCAACCTCACAACTATGTAACAGAACTTTTTTCCCCACCCTTTCTCCCCTCTTGGCGCTGTCCAAAAAGCGGTTCTGCACCATGTTTATCTTTTTCTTTTTTTTCTTTTCGGAAGGGCTGCAGTGTGGGAACATTGCTACTCTCCTAATTCTGTTGATGGTAGCATTTATATCACTGGATACCCACATTGGGGGTTTAAGCCATACCTTCTATCAGTTGTTTTTAACTTGGAAACTCAGCCCAAAACAAGCAGAAATATTATTTAGGATAGCATTAGATCACACTCTTTAATGAGATCAGTATGGAATGTGGAGGGGGGGGCTTCTAATTACAGTACTGTATGTACACTGAAAATGTGGCTAGATATCTGTCCTCTCACTATACATAATGCTACATTATATGTATTCATTTATTATTACAACTTATCTGAAATGCTAATATTTTAGGTATCCTCTTTTAGAAAACAACTAAAGGAAGAACAGAGAAGATATTGGAGGCTGTAGAGAATACACAACATCATATAAGAGCGAAAGAGAAAGGCAAAGATCACTAACTAATAGGGGCTCAAACTAACTGCCCTTTGCAGTAGGACACTGCAGCTGATACCTAGGAATAGAGAAGGTTCTTCAAATCATTCCTGTGATGATTGAAGGAGAGTGGAATTTGTAGTCAGAGAAAATAGAGTTGGTTAGGTTCTGTGTGAAAGTATTTGAAGGCACTGGAATGTGTTTTTCTGTTAGCCTGGTACAGCGAGGATTCAGATAAGGGAGCAAGTATAAACAAGGCCCAGTGTGAAGATTCAACACATACCATGCTAATTGGGAGAAGATAATGCACCTGCATCTCATGAGAATTATGGGTGGAGAGTTGTGTTACGCCTCTTTGAAGTTAATTGGTTTAAAGCTATGAAGTGTCAAGAAGAAGGAGGTCTTAGGGCTCTAAGAAAAGATGGATGATAGGAGGAGTTAGAGAGCTTCTCTTAGCTTTGCCAGCTTGGAGAGTTTTAGCATGGATTGTGCTATGTGAAGGAATGTTTACAGAATGTAGCATGGTAAGAAGAAAGAGGGGGTGGGAATAGCCCACCATAGCTAAGATTTTAGTATTTCTTATTTTAATAAGAAATAACAGTATTTGAATCTTTGGACATGTTTTTATGCAACTGCTTTTGCAAACAAACTGTTTCTATGAACCTATATTTTCTTAATAAAAAATAATTATAAAAACTCATTGAGGGCTAGTCTCTTGAAACAGCAAGGTTAAATTAAATCTAGACAAGTGGAAAAGGTCACTAACTGGCTACTATAGAGAAGTCCTACCTTACTGAGCTGTTGTGTGTTCTCTGGAAACACAGAGCTCATGTTTAAGTACTTTGAAAGTACAGAGTAAAGGGAAGTATTCTTTAATCGTCAGGCTTGTCCATGGCACAGATGCTATGCACTGCTGAGGCTTAAGGACTTACCTCAGTAAAAAGATGTACATTTGTGGCCAAAGTGACTCCCTGTCCAGATCTCAGACCCTCCTTAGGGAGACTTGGGCATTACAATTCCCATCAAACAAAGTCAGGGGTCAATAAATAGCTAGAGTTTGATAAGTGACAAGAATAACACTCCAAATCTAACAACAACAAATTGCTATCAAGTACCGTAGATCCTGACTTATGGCGGACCTTCTCAGGGTTTCTTAGACATAAAGTATTCAGGAGAGTTTTATCATTCCCTTCTTCTTGAGGCCCTGCTCCTGTGCAGCTTGCTTAAAGCTACACAGGATGGCTGTTCTCCTGGGATGTTCACTGGCAAACCAAGCTCCCAATCCCAGGTTCCACATTTAGATACATAACTAATTAAACTATTTAGCCAGCTACAGTATATCTTTCTTCTTAGAAATAATCCAACTGCATAGGATTAGGTTTATCTACATATAGGTGCATCAGGATAGGTTTATACTTGGATGCTTTCCTACTTAGACAAATTTTTAGAACTTGTCTTGTTTACTTAAGCATTTTAGGTCCAGATACTCTGTGTAGATTGTTGCAATCATTATGTCCAGAAATCTGGCTGAAAGTTCCATTGAACTGAGGAGAGCTTTCTTCTGAGCAGACAAGCAAAGAATTATATTCTATTTATAATTAATTCTAATTTAATTCTATTCATTTAGAATTAAATATACTGCAATATAACCTTTTGTGAGTTAGACCAGGCAACATAGCTCATATGGTACTTTATTAGCATTAATATAAGGCTACAATTTATTTACATCCAATTTATGCATTGTTATCTACATATTTTATTATAATTTAATCGCAAGTATTCAATATAAGGTACATTTAACAGATAAAGAAAGCAGGGTATTCATATTCTAATGATGAATTAATAAGTCTGGAAAGTTATTCAAAAAAAGTAGCACAAACCTGATAGAAGGAAACATCTTTTCTGCCAGTGGAATTGTTCACCAGATCAAAATAGAGAATGAGAGAGAAAAGAAAAGCAGGAAGATATGGGTGGAGGAATACTATGTTAACTGGGTAACTAAATGTATGGAAGAGACTGATGACATAGATTTTTATAATTGCTGCCACGTGGTTATCCTGGTTGCGGGGAGGGAACCACAAGGGGTTTGGATGACTTACAAATTCATCAGAACTTGCAAATACAGTATTCATCTGCTTGCTTCAAGCTAATCTCAGTTGAGAATCAAAAGCCTAGTATGTTCCTTCTTTGCATTGCACAAAGTGTTTCTGCTGCCATGCCCAAGCTGAAGTAATCAGCCAACAGCATTATCTTCCATACAATCTCAGCAAAAAGATACAGCTTCTGAACCAACAATGATGTAATTCAAGAAACCCTGTCTTTCCTGTCTGGAGTGCTCTAGGACTCGCTTCTTCATCTTTCAGCAAGGGTTTCCTTCAGCACTGTACTTTAGCCTTTTGTTTCTGATCATGGGGTATTCTTGGCAAAGATACTGGAGTGGAATTGCCGGTTCCTACCCCAGGTGGATTGCGTTTAGTCAGAACTCTCCACTATGACCTGTCCGTCTTGGGTGGCCCTGCACGGCATAGCCCATAGCTTCTCTGAGTTACTCAAGCCCCCTCGCCATGACAAGGCAGCAATCCATGAAGGGTGTACTGTACTTTAAAAGAATACAGCCTTCTTCCCTGTCCTGCTTTCATATCCATACATAATGATCGGGAATACAATAGTGTGGATTATCTTGGCCTTGGTGTCCAATGAAGCATCCTTACACTTGAGGATCTTTTCTAATGTCTTTTCTAATTCCCTCGTTGCTGTCCTTCCAAGGCTCAGTTTCCTTCTAATTTCTTGATTGCAGTCTCCATTTGGATTGATGATTGAACCAAGGTATAAAAAACCTTTCACGATTTCAATTTCTTCAATGCCAAGGTGTGAAGGAGTTCAAGGCAGTGTGCCGTCCTCTACTAAGAAAGAAGACATAGAGGAAGGAGGTTGTGTGGAAGGGGTGTTGATAGAATTGGATCAGACTGAGGTGGTGACTGAAAGGGCTGTGGAGGTGTGTCTGGTAGAGAAAGGAGGGGAGGAGTTGGACTTAATTATGTGGGAAGATATAAAAGAGGAAAAAAGCGCACGCGATTTCAGAATGTGGATAGATCTGAATCCAGACCGACCAAGGCATAGAGGGGTGCAAACTGAACCCATTCTCAGCCAGACATGACTCCAGGATTCCCTAATCTGATGACTGGAGGCGGACTGCTCCCAGATCCATAACCCGCGGGGGTTAGAGGTAGAGATATTGAACCTCTAGATTTGCCTCCAGTGATAGTTCAATGTGGTCTAGGACCCACTTGTTCATCTTTCTGGTACTCCACAGTATCTGCAAAGCTTTCCTCCAGCACCATATTTTAATTGAATCATTTTTTTCCCTGTCAGCTTGCTTAACTGTCCAGCTTTCACACCTATACATGGTGATCAGAAATGCAAGGGTGTGGACAATCTTTGTCTAGGTGTCCAATGACAATTGATAAGCTTTTCTAATTCCTTCATTGCTAACGTACCTAGTCGGTCTTCTGATTTCATGGCTGTAGTCTCCATTTGGATTGATGATTGAACCAAGGTATACAAAATCTCTCACTATTTCAGTTTCTTCATTGTCAAGGCTAAAGTTATATAGTTCTTCTGTAGTCACGATTTTTGTCTTTTAATATTCAATTGTAGTCCTACTTTGGCACTTTCTGCTTTCACTTTCACTAAAAGTCATTTCATATCATTGCTGCATTCTTCCAGCATAATAGTGTTGTCTGCATAACTTAAATTACTTAAATTATAGTAGTGATGTTTTCCTCCACCACATTTCATCTGAATCTAGTCCAGCTTTCAATATGATGTGTTCTGTGTACAGATTGAGCAGACAGGGAGATAGAATGCATCCTTACCTGATAGCATTGCCTATGAAAAATATTCTGTCTCTCCATATTCTGTCCTAACAATAGCTTTGTCTACACAAGCATCAGGACAATCAAGTGCAGAGGAACAGCCATTTCTTTCAAAATAACCCATAATTTATAATGATCTACACAGTCAAAGGCTTTGCTGGAGTCTACAAAGAATACAGTGGTGCCTCGCATAGAGAGGTTAATCCGTTCCGGATTAACCTTCGCTATAGCGAAACATCGCTAAACGGAATTTAAAAAGCCATAGAAACGCACTGAACTTTGTTCAATGCATTCCTATGGCTTTAAAACTCACCATTAAGCGATGTTCCTCCATAGCGCCGCCATTTTCGTGCCCTCGGTAAGCAAGGGCAGGGCGCGAAAATGCGGCGCGGACCTTCCGGTGGCCATTTTGGAACCGCTGATCAGCTGTTCTCCCCCGCTTCGTTATGCAATATTCGCTAAGCGAATCGCTTAGCGAATATCGCAAAGCGAAAAAACGCCATAGGGGCCATCGCTGAGCGAATGCTCCAGCGATGGCCCAGAGCCCCTCGTTAAGCGATTTCATCGCTCAGCGAGGTGCTCGTTAAGCGAGGCACCACTGTACGTAAACTGATCTTTTTCAAAAATTTCTTGTTGTGTTCTAGGAATCAGTGGATATTTGCAATATGATTTTGAGTGCTTCTTCCCTTTTTTGGAATCCAGCTTGATCATCAGGCATTTCTTGTCCCTTATAAACCACCTTGGTTCCTTTTAAGGAGAAAGGAGGGGTAAAAATAATTTAAATAAAATAAAATAAGGTAAAAGCCTTTGGCAAACAACACCGTGGGCATCACTTTGCTTGCATGGAAAATTAGAGCAATGTTCCTGTAGTTACTGCACTCCTTTTCTTGGGGACTGGAACATTTGCAGTCTGTGAAAGATCCCTTACCATTGTCACCTTCAGCTTTCACTGCTGCCCAGTAGCTGCTCTCCAGAACTTTCTCCATCCCCATCCCCATTGGAATTATCCATTCTCTTCTGCTAATACAGCCATTACTCTTGAACAGGGTGGATGTATAGGTCTGGTGCATCATTTGGGAACATTTCACTTTGGTTGGACCTGCTAGGAGTCCAGGCTTGTAATAGAGTCTAGACTCCTGATGGCATTGCTCTCAGCTTCCCTCATATACACAAATCCCATCACCACATTAAGGTGTGCATCCCAGAAGGGAAATCTCAGTTATTACTGGTGATTTATTCCTTCCAAATGCTTTGAGAATGACTTTTACCTCACTTTCTAAAACTGCAGGTTCACATGATCCTTCTTCAGAGGCATCTGGTGCCCTCACATCTCTTCTGTATGGTTATCTAGGATACTGTTTCCACTGTCTCTCTAATTTATCTTGGTGAACTAATATGTCACCCTGTAATAATCTTTCACCATTATTGATCCACATTTAAATTTTCCTTTCATTTCTTGGATCTTATGGATGAGAGCATTCATATTTGCTCTTTTTGTTGTTTTATTTCTTTGCACTGCTTATTGTAATTTTTTTTCTCTATATGGTAATTACTGAAATATTGACTTTAGCATTCTGATGCTATTTCTGTCATGTCTTACTTCCCCCCCCCATCTATTGTTAACAATTTTAAGAGTTGTTAAAGTTGTCTATCTAGGGGTTTCTTTTCTTTTGACTAAAGGAATTGTCGTTTTGAATTATTTCCTGATAATATCTGTAGTTTAAGTCCACAGTTCTTCTGAATAATGATCAACTGAGTTTAGTAATTCAAGTCTGTTCTTTATATGAACTTTAAATTTATCAGAAATAATATTTAAATCATATTTTAGTACTATAATTTGGGGAGGGGTTGTTTTCAGCCTTACTCTTATGTTTTGCGGTGATAATTTACAGCCAGTGCCACAATCTGTTCCCAGTCTTGTTTTGAGAGAGATAATACAGGTTCTTTACCTACTACTTCTAATTATGTGGCCTGTTTGATTTCTGTATTGGCCATCTGGTGATGTCCATGGGTGTAGTCATCTATTTAGTTGCCTGAAGCAGGTACAGTGGTGCCTCGCATAGCGAGGTTAATCCGTTCCGGATTAACCTTCACTATGCGAAAACATCGCTAAACGGAAATAAAAAAGCCATAGAAACGCATTGAACTTCGTTCAATGCGTTCCTATGGCTTGAAAACTCACCGTTAAGCGATGTTGTCCCATAGCGCCGCCATTTTCGCGCCCTCGGTAAGCGAGGGCAGGGCGCGAAAATGCGGCGCGGACCTTCCGGCGGCCATTTTGGAACCGCCGATCAGCTGTTCTCCCCCGCTTCGTTTTGCGAAGATCGCTAAGCGAATCGCTTAGCGATCATCGCAAAGCGAAAAATCGCCATAGGGGCCATCGCTGAGCGAATGCTCCAGCGATGGCCCGGACCCCCTCGCTATGCGAATTCATCGCATAGCGAAGCACTCGCTAAGCGAGGCACCACTGTATTTGCAATAAACAAGTTGTTGGCTTTACAGATTTCTATAGGATGTTCTCATGTTTCATTTCTGACTCCTAGGCCAAATTCTCTAAAAAGGTTTGGTTCTCATTTGTGTCCTCTAATCCCCACCCCACCTTCCACCTGGATAAATGTTTACCGGTCTTCTTTGCAATAAACAAGTTGTTGGCTTTACAGATTTCTATAGGATGTTCTCATGTTTCATTTATGACTCCTAGGCCAAATTCTCTAAAAAGTTTTGGTTCTCATTTGTGTCCTCTAATCCCCACCCCACCTTCCACCTGGATAAATGTTTACCGGTCTTCAAATGAGCCTATCTCCTCTACTTGGGATAAGTAGCTATCACTTTCTCCTGGTTTGTCCCCATCTTTGCCCTTTCTCTTCAGCTTTGTGCAAAACCATTATACCTGGGAAGACAGTAAATACATATGGCCTAGACTCGTGTGACTTTTAGGAGGAATATATTTAATGGTCTTTTCCCTCATTTAGTTAATTATTTTTGTATAATCTTCTGTTATTTTCTATCCCCATTATATTACATTATCCTTTAGGCTAATTTTCTGTTGTTCCTACATTTACATTTTCACAATTTATTCTATGTATACACATTTATACACTCTCATTGTTG